AGCCCTCAGTTAGACTGTGATGATTCCTCAGTTAAGGCCTCACCTGGAGTTAACTCGCTCAAAGGAGGTGAAAGCCCAAACCAGCTGGAAACAGGACACAGCACTGGGATGCTGCAGGAAACTGGTACCAGTGAACTTCAGCTTGGCAGGTCAGTGCTGGCTGCTGCAGGAGGTCCAGCAATGCAGGAATGATGAGGAGCCACTGCTCTGGGGGGCTCAGCCCCCCAGAAGCAATGCCCAACCACCACCTGAGGGTCTCAGGGACCCTTCCCAAACACTCCTGCCTGTGGAACACACTGCCAGCACATCTGGCCTCAAGGTGCTCTCACGGCTGACACCGCAATCAGCCCCCAGCAAACGCGTTCATTAACACGTGAGCCGGGAGAAGCAGGATGTCATCTAAGGCTCTGCCTTGCTCAGCCCTGCCCACCTTGGATTTCTGCCCCACTTCCCATTTTTCCTCCAGTTTTTCATCCCTCAGGATGAAGCACACTCCCACCTGGCTGAGCTTTTGCAAAGATTTTGAGGAAGACTGCTGAGCCCTCAGAACCTTTAGTGAACCTTCAATTAGATTTTCATGCTGCAGAGAGCGTAGCGAAACACATTTATCTTTGGGGGAACTGCAACAGAGAAGCTATTTAGAAAAGTCACATAAGGCAGCACTGGGAGCAGACACCTGATGGATCTGCAGTGGGAGGGGTGGGATAGGGGGAATGGCTTTGAACTGAAAGAGAAGAGATTTAGATGAGATATTAGGGAGAAATTCCACCCTGTGAGGTGCTGAGGCACTGGCACCGGTTGCCCAGAGAAGCTGTGGCTGCCTCATCCCTGGAAGTGTTCCAGGCCAGGTTGGATGGGGCTTGGAGCAACCTGGGCTAGTGGAAGGTGTCCCTGCCCAGGGCAGGGGTTGGAACTAGGTGACCTTTAAGGTGCTTCCAACCCAAACCAGTCTGTGACAAACTGGAGGATAAATGCCTGCACATTCCAGAGAATTGCTTAATTTCAAGCTTGCTGGCTCTCCTCTTTCCTATTCCTCCACACAGGGAAAGGGCTGTAGGGCTCAATTCTGCTGGAGCAGGCTGAGATGCCTGGAAGGCTCTCCCAGCCCTACCCTTGCTCCCTCCACAGCCCTCCTGTATCCCTCACCAGCCCCCTCATATCCCTCAACGTCCTCCCTGTAACCCACACTACCACCCTGGATCAGCCCCCCTGTATCCCGTGCAGCTGCACTCACAAAGGCTCAGTATATTTAGCTGCTGCTGCAGTTCCACCCGTTTGAAATTAAAGAAAAGCTCTGCAAAATAGTTTTTTTTTTACCCCTGCTGCTACTTCCTTCCCATAGATTTTCTCCACCACCACAACAGCAGCACTTGGGGAAGCTGCAAGATGATAAATAAACTCCTGCACAGATAACTCAAGCCCTTCCCAAGCCTGGGTCTATTTTAACCAGAAGAGCTCTTGGCAGAATGGGCCTTATTTCTGGGACTTGTGATCCAGGGTGACTTTCACCACTCACTCTACTTTAAAATCAAATCTCAAAGCACGTTGGAAAAATGGGAGCTGACACCTGCCCTGGGAGCACTCCTGGCCCCAGTGACGATGGAGCAGAAGCTGGAAGAGCATCCCACAGGCTCAGCAGGCACCAGGTACAGGCAGAGCACAGGTCCTCACCTGCTCCTGCCATCACCTCCTTGGAGCACAGGAATGCTCAGCCTTGAATAATGGCACCTGGGCAGGTAGATTCCTTTGAGCTTATCCAAAACACTCTCTGCTCCCAGAACTTGTGTTCTAACGAGCTCATGTTTTCTAACACACCCTTGAGACCTTATTGTTCTGTCTAACAACAGCCTGGGCAGAATAATCACAGACTCATAGACTGGCTTGGGTTGGAAGGACCTTAAAAACAATCTAGTTCTACCCTCCTGCCATGGGCAGGGACACCTTCCACCAGATCAGGCTGCTCAGAACTAATATTGTTAAATAATATTACTGTTATTTGACTTGTGGAGGAAAATTCCAGTAACTGCTGACCCAAATTGCATCCAGGATGGAAATTTACTGATGACTAAAGCCAAGCATTCTATAGGATGGCTCTGAGCCTATAGACAGGACAGGAGTGTTTCACTGAACTCCAGGGGAACATTCCCCAGGTTTATAGCTCAGCACACACTTCTTGTTTCTGTGTGTGTACGTGAATTGATTTAAACACTCTGGGTAAGTATAGCATGAACATTGCCACTTTAGCTTCATAATTAGCTTAGATTCATAATTAAGTTACTGTTGTACTTACAGCAAATCCTATTGAGTCACTTTATAAATGTTAAATTACTCAACTGATTAAGCACTGCTATTGTTGTGTCGATTAAGCATTGCTAAATCCTTCAGACCTAAACCACTGAGCCAGTCTGAGGCCAAGTGTGGCACAGGGGCTGCTCCAAGCCCTGGGGCTCAATGGGAGGGTCTCCTTTCCCTTTTGCATCCTCACCCTGCTGTGTGCCAGGCTCTGCTTAAATCATTGCAGATTGATTTGAGTCTGATTTTCCTTCTTGTGCTCTACCTGTATAGCAAGGAGGGTCTCCTTCGCCTTTTGCATCCTCACCCTGCTGTGTCCCAGGATCTGCTTAAATCACTGCAGATTGATTTGAATGTGATTTTCCTTCATGTGCTCTATCTGTATAGCAAGGAGGGTCTCCTTCTCCGTTTGCATCCTCACCCTGCTGTGTGCCAGGATCCACTTCAATCACTGCAGCCTGATTTTAGTCTGATTTTCCTTCATGTGTTTTATCTATACAGTAATAGAGTGAACTGTGCCATCAAACTCTCTCATGCTTTTATAAATTCATATTAAACCTGGTTTTGCTGATACCTTTTCCAGAGATTCTTTAATGCTAGTGCCTCCACCTCCCTCTGCCAGCACCTCTAACACCCCAGGATCAAGGACTCCCATTTAACACAGGGCTGGAAATGCTCTGGCAGAGCAGAGCAGAGCAGAGCATCCATCCTTGGAGGGTATCTGCACATCCCTGGGAGCTCCACACTCCTGGCACTCAGCCTTGCACCACGGGAAGGTGCCTGCAGCAAGCAAACAGCCTCCTCCTCTCTACAGCATTTGGTTTGTATAAATTAAATATATATGTGTGTGTGTACTTTGAGGCATTCCTCACGTGTGGTTCAGCTGCCATCAGAGGGATTACTCGCATGAGTAAAGCCATCAGGAGCTCTCCAGCCCAGCGCTCTCCAGGCAGCTGGAGGCAAACAGCCACGGACAAAGGGCTGAGGGAGAGGAGCATCACCCAGAGGGCCAGCATGGATGTGTGCTCAGAGATGCCCTTTTTGATGAAATATTGATAAGATGAAATATTTATAAGGTATTCTTTGGTTTTCAAGTCATGTGAACAGAAATAACAAGGTGCACAGAGGATAAAATAAACAGAACTCTGCCCCCCAGCCCAACAGATTGCTGTGCTTGAAGCTGGAGCTGGGACACACAGAGCTCCTGGGGACATTCAGACATCTCAGCTGTGGCCTCTGCAGGCTGTTCCTCCCAGGGATAGGGCTGATTTCGGAGGATTTTATGCCATGAACCCTGTCACAGCTGCACTGTGTGGGCAGAGCATCGCGGCGGCCGCAGGTACTCACCCAGCCCAAGGCACGACACTCGCAGCCCAGATTTCCCCAGGTTTCTACAAGGAAGAGAAAAGAGTTAGAAAATACTGTTCAGACCTCAAGGGATGTACAGCTTAACCCCACAGAAACCAGCAGCTGGAGAAGGCAAGTTGCTGCTTTTGTCCAAATCATCTGTTTTCCTCCAAAAGGGGCAGATCTCCCACAGTGGGATTGGGATGCTGGTCCCAGTGTGGGGAAGGGAGGGGAAGACATGAACACTCCCTTCAGTTTCATAGAATCACAGTGGTTTGGGTTGGGAAGGACCTTAAAACTCAACTCATTCCATTCCTACCATGGGACACCTCCCACCAGCCCAGGGTGCTCCAAGCCCATCCAACCTGGCCTGGAACACTCCCAGGGATGGAGCAGCCACAGCTGCTCTGGGCAACCTGTGCCAGTGTCTCAGCACCTC